CAATACAGCAATGTTGAGCTCCAGTACATTAAAAGTTCGTGTTGATGTTCTCTGCTGAACCCTAGAGGCTTTGTCCAGTAAGCTTTACTCGAATCTCTTCAGCTCCTTTACAAGTCTACTAAGTACGTCTTGAGAAATAGCTCGACGCTTTGTTGTGCTTTGTTGTGCTAATATGTTAAGTTAATGCTTTGTTTGGAGCAAACTTAAAAACGCAGTATCTAGTAGGATAAAATTTCGATGACTATAAATTACCTAAAATTGAAGGAATAGCTAAAAACTAGTTAAGACAATAATAGTTTCTTATATACGTCCGTCTAATGGTCCAACGATTAATATTGCTCATCAGCTTACATGTTTCGTTGCGAAGACAACACTTGTTGATTTTCAAAGCTTGCAACTCGTCAAAAATACAATTTGCACTTGTCATTTAAAATGTTGTCTTCGCAATGAAACATTTAAGCTGATGAGCAATATGGTTGGACTATTTGACGAACGTATGTAAAAACCTTTTATTAGCTTAACAATATAGTTTAGAAACATGAATTTTGATTCATAACTAGTGATCTGAGTTTACAGGAGTATAATCTATGAAGATTTTTACGTAGGGAAGCATTTTAATAGCGAAGAAGAATGTGACGTAGCAGGACTTCAGGTAGTTACACATGATTCAATGAACAAAGAATAATTCTGCAAATCTCAAAGTAATCTGGGCATGGCGAAGTCAACAAATAAAGGACCTGATGAAAGAAGTGTTAATAAAGCATGAACATATTTTTGTGAACAATTTTTTTCGCCACTGCAAAAATCCATCATTACATTGTTTACTACGGAAAAAGAATGTTTACTATGCGAAAGCAATGCTTACTATCTTTTTTTTATTTTGGTGAAGTTAACAAACAAATTATTATTATTGTTTCATCAATTGTTTTAATTTTCAACAACTAAAGTCAGCTATGAGTTGTGTAATGAAGAAAATAATTATTCTTTGTAGTGTAGCAGTGTAGCGAAAAGTAACGTTCAAAACACGAGTGAAAGTGGGTCTATGCATGTTTAAAGTGCGAGATTTAATTACTACTTTCTACTCTTGTTATGAAATATACTATAAAATAACGTGACATTCTTGGCGTAGACCTTGAAGTGATGGTTAACAATAAGGCTGTTTTCCCTAAAAAGTCTCAAAAATTTGAAATTCATAAAAAAAACGCAAGAGTACCGGTACCAAGAAAGTTTAAATATGACCAGTGTTTGAAAGTGTAAATACCAATTCAACATTAGTTATAATATATTAGTAAAAAGGCTGCAAACGTATTTTTTCTCAAATCAAAGTTATAAACAAAACTGTTCCGAGTCATGGCATTTTTCACCACACATATAACAGTGAATCATCTTTCTGCATTTAAATGAATTACAAATTCATCTACAGGTACAAAACACATTTATTTTTTGGATTGTTCGTAAAGTAAAAGCTTTAATAAATAATACTGTGAAAGGATATGGTAACATTGGGCACCATTGTTAATAATTTATTTAGTTACTTATAACTTATAGTTACTTATAGATGTTGCCGTGATATAAATGCATGTTATTATCAAGTTGACAACGACTTAAGCCTTCTCGTTACTCAAGACATGTTAAGAGTAAGTCTCTGAGATGCCAATAACGTCTTGTTTAACTACCAACAATCATTCTCTGTTCTACAATCTACAATCTACATCGTTAGTCTGAAGCAAACATTCGTAACCAAAACCTAACGTTGTAATGTTTACTAATAACTGGTTCTTCACATATAAGTACTGTGTTCTCTGCTAGTTAGCTACAAATCCTGTCGTATAACAAATTTAACTAATTTCAAAATAGTTTTCCAAAATTGCTATTTGAAAGAGAAATGCAATTATTAGTTGTGTTTCCTTGATCTGTACGGTACAAAAAAAATACAATAAAAACATTGTAATTATACATAGGCTAGTACAAAATTTACTAGTATGCATAGTCAATGGACAAACCAATTGGGATTGAATTTATGTGTCGGACAGACACAACCATACTCCTATAGTATTGGCCATCGAGTAGTTCCAAGCTTTGCCCACAGAGTGAAGCACCGTGTCCATCAGCTTGTGGCTATTATTGCGTCAGCTGGGGAGCTGGTGTCAGGCCGGCTGTTCTCGCGTCCGTGGATTTCACTAGAGTACAGTAGTTGGTTGTAAAACAATGAATTATGATATTATGATATACAATATAGTACCTATATAGAAAATTAAGAAACATTCTAGACTGAGTATTGTAGTTGTACCATAGTCGGTGTAAAACTAGGACAATTAATTAGCAAAAAATTGAATTAAAACTGTGTTATTTTCATGTATAAAACATTTATTCACATTGAAATTCACAATAAAATTTAAATTTTTAACAAAAATAACAACTTCATATTGCCATATAATCGCAATAATTTGTATCTTGTTTATATATAATTACAAATCTAAAACAAAAAGTGTCCTGCCGTGACCAGGATTCGAACCTGGGTTTTTGCGGCCACAACGCAAGGTACTAACCACTATACGATCACGGCTATCAGGACATGAGATGAGATAGTGCAAACGGGATTGGTAACAGGAAAAAGTCGTAGGATTGGGAATATCTTAGTAGGCTTACATATTTTAAATATAATTTCATCCCCTTCGATTACAGACTTTATACCTATAAATTTCTGATTACCAAGGTTATCTACCATAACAATTGTTACGACGCGACTAGAAAATAGATAATAGCTAATGTCGTGTTCGTGTTTTATTCTTAGACTATAGGTATATAACTATATTATTTGAACTATGTCATCTGATTCCTCTAGATTAGGGAAAATAATAACCCAACAGTAATTTTAGTAATAAGATAAAGATTTTTAGTACCTATTTTGTACCAGTACGGCCTTCAATTTAATCAAAACTTTTAGTCAAATTAAATATACTTGCTTATTATGATTTAATTAAGTGCTTTTTACACACGCCCAATCAATGGCCATTTCCGTGTGTTTGTCCTATACAGCAACGACTTTAAAAAAATTTGGATTTAGGTTTTACTTGTCCTCTATTTCAAAGTATATTCTGTGCCGGGGGTGCTATCCCTGAGGAAGAATCCCCCTTTATTAAGTGATACATTTATTTTTGAAAATAAGAACGAAAATCGATAAATCAACTAATTTTAAACAACATTTGTTCTATAAAGCTTTTTCTGAAAGGCAATACTTTTCCTTTCGACTTGTTCTCGAGTGAAAACATACGGTTTCATCAGGAACTCAACTCACTTTTGGACAAAAAAAAACTCGAAAAATATGCTCTTAAACGAAATGACCTGTAAAGAGCAAAACTATTGTAGCTTTTGAAAAAAATCATGTGCTTATGATACTTGCTGCAGAGCCAATAAAAACGGAATTATTGGTTGTTGAAAGTTAAATAGTATTTTTCAAATTATGGAAAAAGTCTTTATGTAAGCCTACAATTACCATAAACAAATGCATTTTTTAGGGAAAGCCCAGAGAACTTTGTTTTAAAGTATTTCAAAAACCTGTATTTTTATTCTTGTGATAGTTTCTAATATCAAAACATATTTTTTCAATATGGCCGCCAACTTTGATTTCCTTATGGAAGAGCCTATATTTTATGATTTTTTTTTAGAAAGTAAATGCAATTTCAAAACGTTTTTGTTCTTGGTATTTTGTTCTCTAAAACTACTCATTTAGGAGTTACATCGTGTTAAAACTAAGAAAAAAATACTTGCGGTTTACATTCTGCGTCTAGTAGGCTACTTTCAACCACCACGGTTCCCGTTCCCGCGCAGTAGCAACCGCGGCGGCCGCCCAGGACCGTACACATGGCAGCAGCTGTCGCCGCGGCTAACGCTGCGGTTGCGGTGTGAATTGACCCGTCACTAGACAGCCAGTACAGTAGATGGCCAAAGTCTGAAAATTGCATCTACATTCTAAAGAGACCATTAAATACCAATTTGTCCAATATTAAAGTAAAAATATTGATTCCATTGTTTAAAAAATGGTTACCATTTTTCAAAATGGCAGCAAATTTGAAAATAAGAAAACAAGTTAAGTGAAAAAATAAGAAAGTTTATTTTATGGTAGCTTTAGAGAAAAATGTCAAGAATAAACACGTGTTTAAATTTCATTAACTCTCTAAAAAAAAATCATAAAATATAGGGTCTTCCATAAGAAAAATCAAAGTTGGCGGCCATATTGAAAACAATTGTGGCTAATTTTTTTTCATCATGACCAAAATTTTTTAAATAACAAATCCAAGGTGGTTTTAATTTAACAACTGTTGATACCTCTTATAGCTTTCAAATACAACAATTGGCACACTTTTTATCAATCCCTCTATAAGGAACATTAACTGAAGGTTAGGTTTAAAGGAATTTATAAAAGTATGTTCATAGTGGTCATGTATAAAAGAAATGTTTTAAATTGGATATTTAAATAAAATAAGTAGTTGGCTCACTTATTGATGTGCTACCTATTCTTTTACTTTAACAAAACTATCCATAAAACAAAACATCAACTTTCTTGGCTGTTATCTAGGCTTTATTCAACTGTAATTTTTTTCTTTATAATTGTTTGGCTTGTGGATTTGATAAAAAAAAATTTGGCATAACTTCAAATAACTTATTAATTTCCTGTTGGTATATAAATGATGACTTGATGCACAACATACTATTTTGATTTGGTTGGTTCTATGTGTTATAAAATAAAGTAAAAATAAGTTTTAAACCCCTATATTTTCAGAAATTTTCCCTGACCCCCGAATGTTCGTTATACCTTTATATTGCACCCCCTGTTCCAAATCCTGCGTGTGCCCATGACGCTGGTCGTAGGTAAACCGGGCTTTACCTGATCATAATCTAAGGACTAAACATCTTTACCCAAAATTGTTGGTTTTATATCAGCTGGTTCAGGTCCAGTTACTAACCTTGACCGTGTTTTCTCTGTTCCCAGTTACAAGATGATCCGCAGAGCGTCCTACACTCCCGGCACCTCCATGATGGGGTCATCCCAGGAGCCCCTCATCGTGGTGGAGGAGTCCGGTGGGTTTCTAGAGGAGGAGGAGGGCGAGGATGACTCAGGACCTCCAGACACCCCTCACTCTGGCACTGACTCTCCACATCTCAACCCCTTCCTGTTGTCTCCGTACCGCGATATGCGCAAACGCTCCCTGCCTACACCGCAGTGCACCACAGGCATCACGGCCAGCCAGGTCAAGTAACATCCAATTTAGATTGAATTTTTCGTTCGAGACAAGACGAGAAGGGGTTATTATTTCTCATGAAATTTTGAGACGGGATTTCCCTTCTCGTTCATAACGGGACATGCACGTTCAACATTTTAACCTGATTTTGTGACACTGTTAAATACCTAATGATTTTTTTACAAAAGACTGCTTAAATAAAAAATTAGTAATAACAGGCAAGAATATTTCAAATCTTTTACTAAAAAACATCAGTATAAAAATAAAACAAATAATAATTAAGGGGATTAGGCCTACACGTAACAAACACTCTTGCACTTAGAAAACATGATGATATCAGTTTGGGTATAGTTCAACTTTGAAAAATATAAAATTTATCAGTATGAAACATCAGTCTTAGAGCTACTAGTTACGTAATAAATTACAATAGTAGAGCTTTAAAAATACAAAATTTATCAGTCTAAAACATCAGTTTTACTAGTTAAGTATCAAGTAATGATTTTTAGTCGTGAGTTATTTTTAGAATGGTTTTGGAGTGACTTGTTTTGGCTATGTTTACAGTAATAAAATGTCTCATACTGCTTAAAACACTTAACAAAACCTCTCATCACTTGCAAAACAAAAAAATATTAAAAAAATTAAAGCAATATTTACATGTAAATACAATAAAGAATGCATTCGCAAAGAAAACGCAACAACAACGCGTTCCTGTATTGCGGGTATCCCATCAACTTTCTGCAGGCGTTTTTCACTTTTCTTAAATACTCTCGTCTCGAAAAATTTTCGATCAAAATAAATCGAACAAGATTTAAAATTTCCCGAGATTTCTTAAAATTTTGAGACCCGTCCATTCCTAATATACGTGGACCGGAGTTGAATGTGCGCACAGACATAAATTCTATTTCCTCATTTGATTTTGATTTTGTTACCCTATAACAGTCAATGTGATATAAAAGATATGCTATAAGTTTGGCTTGGTTAAAAAGTCAGCATATTTGACAAAAATCAGAAATTTATACCACATTTACATGTTTGCGGGCGAATTTAACTATGTCCATGTGTATTCTTGTGACAACTTTAACATGGAAATGGAATGTTTAGGTTCATCCATAGTCCATATTTTTTTGTTACAGATCCTTACAAAACAAGTTTTAAATAGTCTTGACTCTTTTAAATTGGGGTAGCTATGGAATTGGGGTAGCTTTTAAATTGGGGTAGCGACTTTCCTTGAGGTTAAGCTAAGGCAATTCAAATCGGACATTCTTTGCCTTGATTGTGGCCTCCACAAAATGTTAAATGTACCACACTGTTCCACTTATTATCCTCACATAGCCTCCGATCCCGAGAATAATTCTCGGGATACGTACAGTGACAATTATTGTCACTATATGTAGTAGGGTCCAGTCCAGATTTAGGAACCATCAATTGCAGGTAGAATAAGTATGCTCAAACATGAAAACAATTAATACTATAAAAATTAGGAATAGCAGTAACAGAACTTACCATGTTTTCATTCACTGATGTTTGGAATAAATTAGCTCGAATAAATTTGGGTAGAGATTAAATGTTGAGGAACCCTAATCAAAAAGTAATAAAATCACTGCCCATAAAACTTAAGTAAATAAATGTTTATTTACTCAAAACAAAAATTATTTTTTTGAAATATTGTTTTTAATAATTAGTTTATTTATTTCGCTTTGTCTTGTGTGTAGGTGAGGAGGCTGTCTGAGCAAGGAGGGGCAGAAGGCAAGGGACCATCTCCTATGGAGGCTGCGTTCCTAGCGACTCTCTCCCAGGCCCCTGCCCCTCAGGCTGGAGGACGACGACACTCAGTGGTCACTATCTCTCGGGCTCCACCGTCCTCGGTCATCTTTGGCCGCAACCGTCGTGAATCCATCGCCGCCATGGGCCGTGGTCTTCCACGTCGAGACTCCAACTCTAGCATGACTGGCAGTAGCTTCAACTTGCAGCTTGACATAATGGATAACATAGCAGAGATCAAGGCGGCTCGTAAGGTCCGTTTAAAGATGTGGCAGGAGGACAACCAAGACAAGGTATGTGAGGTACAACCCATCGAGGGAGGTCCTTCCTCGAGGTATCACCAGTATCCGGGTACTTCTCGGAGGTTTTCTGATATAACCGGCATCTCTCCTGTTCCTCCTGCTATTCCTCCAAGGCGGAGAGCCTCAGAAATGCCTCAACTTCCACGAAGGGTTTCCACACCCCCACCCTCGACATCGGGAAAAGGCATTGTCTGTTCAAACACGGACCTGATATCGATGCTATCCTCACTTACATCATCGGCTCAAGAAATCAACAATCTTTGCAAAGTGGAAGCTTCCAAACAGAGCTCGATCGACTTAAAACGATCAAGATTAAAAGGTTCGAGGTCCAACAGTTTTGATATTTCTCTCTTGCCTGATAGTAAAGGGCATATTTCATCAGAAAAATCTGGAAATGAAGCTTCCAATTGGTTTATTAGAAGACATCAACCTATGGCGAGCAAAAAATGCTCCAATGATAGTGATCAGAAAGTCAAAGCTATTGTCACATTTGCAGATGAAAAACTGAAAACAGTTATAGCAGAGAGAAAAGTTGATGAAGATACGACTAAAATCAAAAGTGATAAGAAGTTATCGACTGAGAAAGTAGTCTGGGATAAGCCTTCTGGATCGGTGGTGGATCCCAAAGTTATTGGGAGTGCAATAGAGGAATATCTCAACCTAAAGGGTTCAGAAACTGGCACTCCAACTGTGGTGAAAGAAGAGCCAACTCCAGCGACTCCAAGCAAAACCACAAAAACCTCTTGGTTTGGATCATCCTCTAAAAATAAACAAACGGACGAAGAAGGAGCAACGGCATCTTGTGATAATTCCATTTGCTCTACGCTAAAAGATCTCTTTGTGAAATAGCTATAAACAAAACCTCCATGGGGGGTGAAAATATATTTTTTATCTGATTAATATTTTTATCATTGAAAATATATGTAACTTCATTGAAACTGAATATTTACATTTGGTTTTTGTACACTTTTCACTTTCTTACTTCTATCTTTCGTGAAATATAGATTGTACTTCTTCTGTCTTAGTAAAAATATAAATTATTAGATGATGATGAGTAGTTTGATTGTTAAAATCGATTTCAAATTAACTAATTTACAAATATTTCACAGCCAACTTTAAAAATAATGATTTCACAGTAAAAATATATTTATACACAGTATTAAATTGTTCATAATATGTTTAAAGGACAAACTTTGACATGAGTAATGTGTTATAGTCAGTTCACAAAGATTTAGGCGGTTTGAGGAAGCTCCTCCACCACTTTTTTCTGCTTATGTTACAGCTGATTGGCGTTTTAACATATCTCAGCTGTTGAGCTGTTTTTTAATGGTAGGATCAAGATGTGGAGGGGATTGATTTCTTCCCCTAAAACCGTCTAAATTTTGTGAATGGGGTATAATTTCCTTCTCTAATACTTGAGCTATGTCTGTTTTATGAGCTATTTTGGCACAATTATAGCATGTTTTTATTGGATTTGAGCCCAGCCGTTTGGACTCAAAGGTTGGTCAGTTATGTTTACACAAACATATGATTTAAAAGTTCCAAAATAATTCCCACTCACCCAATGTGGACTTAATATTGAGTCCCAAAACAACAATACAAGTGTTTACACTGTGTAAGTTTAAACTGAGGTGTTCAATAGCTGACTCATAGAGTAAAAAATACATTCAGCATTGGCATAGTGTAAGCAAGACAAGCTAACATCTCGCTTGTACAATCTCATGCCACATTCCAAACTGTGCAAGTGGTGGAAATTATTGTTTAGAAATTCCATTGTGTATATACTATGTGAAATAGCAATAAAATGTTTCACGCTACAGTAATTTAGTATAATTGGATATCCAAACAAGCACATAAAAAGATAAACGCAGGCATGAATGTCCATAATAATACATGCATTTTTGGAATACAGTACAATATTTAAAAATCTTTAAGTCTTTGTCGTTTGATCCAAAGAAACGTCATGACAAAAGCATTTATTTAATGTTAAAAATAATTCATAAATTCGTAAAAATGTGTTTATTTTTTCAAACCAATACCATCACTCAGTAATGAATACTTAATTGTAATATGTTTCTATCATCATTTCTTGTCACGCCAGATTTTATCTCTCTAATATTAAGTGGTTATCTATATCTTTGATGTTTATTGTGAATTATTTCAATAGTATATTGTTAACAAGAACTATTAGGAAATACTAGGAGAGGACTGTTGCACTGACCAGGTATACTTTTAACCAATATTGTACCAACTTTAAGCAATATTTTATTAATGTTCTAGATGTAACACAAAGCGTAAAAAAGTCTAAAATAATTTTCTGAAAATTCAATACTTATTGAGAATGTTGATTAGTTTCATTAATTCCTTCCTTACCTAAATAAATGGTTCTGTGTTTCATCTAAGACCTCTGTGGTTTACAATACCTCTTATGAATTATTGTCATGTGGTCATTCTGTGTACCATTTATCAAATTGTCCAAAGCCTTTTAATTGTAATGCAGTTATTTATCTTTTTCACATAACATTGTTGTAGATCATTTCTATTGAAGTAGGGTTGAGAGTGGTGGTACTTGAAACTCATGTCCGGAAGAAAAGGGATAAGTTACCAAATAGTTAACAAGTTTCTTGTAATGATCAGATCATAACATGAGAGATGTATCCATCCAATACGCACTGTACAACTGCTACTAAAATATTGTAGGGGTTTTGCGCCTGAGCAATAAAAAGTTAGCAAATATTTATTATTGAAATTCCACTCCATATAAATCGAGCAGTTCTACAGCATGAGTGGTGAGTCATTTTTTGCCCAAGTTTTGGAAAATGCTGTGAAGAAGAGATTAAAACAGTCAGGTTTATTTGCAATGCTTATCAATGAGTTTTGAGAGTTAAAAGTTTGCGTCCCTACATTCGTTAAAAATAACAACCATACTACGTCAAACCCATTTTGTTGATCCGATAAAATGTTACACAGATTGATGACACAAACGTTTGTTCCAATCAGTATTAATTATTTATTTTAAAATGTCCTTGGTGCTGAGCTATAAGTGTATATAATGTATATAAGATAGTGTTATAACGCTATGTTTTTAACAATTGTATATTCTTTCAGTAGAATATACTCCCAGTGAGATCTATGTTACCTGGCATGTTTGTGTATAGTCTAAGAGTTTGATTATGTTTCAGTGTTTTGTAATTCTTTAAACTTCTGTAGAAAGTAGTTCTAAAACACCTCTCCAATATAAAGTTTGTAAAATATTTAACGTGTTATGACAGTTACACCAAGGTCGTTAAGGTAAGAACAATTTTAAGGAATGATATAAAAGTGAAAATGATGAGATTTTAGCTTGGTTTACTGAATTAAATAACCTGATTCTTTTAGGTAAAAGCCTATCCTAACTCAATGAATGATCATGTTAGTTGGGTCTATTGACATAATCAAATAGTTTATTTGAGGGAAACCCTCAAATAAACTAATAAATACCAATAATATTTTTTCAACAGACTTGGTGGAAAACAGTCCTGGGTGTAGGCCTATAAATATTTTAAAAATATATATAGAACTACAAAATTTGGAGCAAAGTTGTTGATGGGCATATAACATTATTTCAACATGTTATTCAGTGATACACTACTTCCTCAGAGGGGCAGCCAGGAGTGAGAAAAATCTTAAATGTAAGCATACATGTGATTATGCGTGTCAAGTAAAAAGTATTTATTAGTAGAATACAATGCTGCAAACCAGAACTCAAACAAAACAACAAGCCAAAAATGCCAGCCGGTCACCTTTGGGTTCAGTTGGCTGAACATAAACCAAGAAAATAAATAATTTTATCAAACTGTATTTATGCTGGAGAGGAACGTTTTACGCTGCTGAATTACAAAATAAGGGTTGAAGATTAGCGTTATTTAAGGTTAAACTGTCTAATAGTTTTATCTGTAAACAATCAAAGGAAGAGGCCTAAAGAGTTTTATAACAATAAAAGAGTAAAATAACATTTATAGGTAATCAACCCGTACAGCTAATAGATTTTATCAAAGAACTGAATGACGAATATTTCATATTTTTATAAATTTAAGAAATCACAAACTGTAAGTAGATTATACAGAGATCCACAAACTTTACTACTATTTTTTTAACAAAATTATAGTTTCAATCGGTTGTGGATATCACTGTTACTAAATCAATCAAACAAAAATGTTATTTTTAAATACAGATCCACCACTTATGTGATAAAATAATAGTCTGTTGATTATAAATCCAGATCCAGGTAATATTTTTCAACTATAGTTTTCTTGGGCCATGATGAAATTGCATTGTAAGACTGTCCTAAAACCTCTATCAAATTAAAATATTTTCAAAACTTAGACATAAGTTTCTTTGTTGTACCTAAAATATTACAAACTACTTCTTACGAGTAGTACATAGTTGTCAAATAAAATTTAGTAAGGAACTGTGCAGTATTTTACTGGTTGTTAATTTTATGTACAACCAGAATTTTGTTTACACTCTGAAAAGAAAATATTAGCAGTGTATGGAAACATGTATAAATAAAACTTATTGTTGTGTGAAATCCAATATAATAAATGTTTTACTAGACAGCATAATATTGTTGTTATCTCAACAGGTGACTGTATATTTTATCTTGATGTCTTTCTCATGGCCTTGAATTCAGAAAGTTTAATGTTTAGTATTAGTCTTTATAGATAGAAATCATATTTATGTTTTTGATTGTGTTTGTTTTAAGAATAAAACTGTTACAGAAATACAACAGTGTTTTGATTTTGTAATGGTCAAAACCAGAAATGTTAAATCATGAAACGGAAACCAAACTTAAAACCCCAAATCCCGAATCTCAAAAACGCCAAACTTTATGCAGTAGAACCCCTTATATCCGGCCTCAACGGGACCAAGCCTCTGATGACAAGTTTTGGCCGGATAAACCAACCTATTATAAAAACTATAATTGGAATTTAACAGGTTGTGATTAGTCAAAAACTACTGTTTAAGCCTTAAGCCTCTTTTGGAATCTTTAAAACCAATATAGGCTAGAATATTTATTTTCAAGTCAAGTGTTAAATAATTAACATAATTATATTTTGAACTCAAATTGTTATTATATGAATATATAGTTTTAAAGTACAGTAGAACTCCAATTATCCGAACTCCAACTAACCGAATCGCTTATTTCAATAATTTGAAAAACGTAAAGCTACAGTAATAATAAGTTTTGCAAAATATCAAAAAATTGTTATCAAACAAATTTAGCTAGTGTGTATTTTTGGACTTTAATGGAACACTATTAACTTATGAACTATGAACTTATGAATTAAAATATTAATGGTTTATAATAATATTAATCTTATGGAGACAATTTTTTGTGAGTTTATAGCATCCTATCTTTAAGATACGTAGTACATGGGTAATAACAAAAGTTTACGAAAAAGACAAAAATCGAAAAGGGTACAAACATACAGAACACGGTACGTGTTGTGTATTGTAAGTTTATATTTGAAATAAATAGTTCAATAAATGTGGGATGAAAAATGAGCCTTATTTTGTCACTAGTTTATTTAAATCAATTGAATCACATTTTTGAAAATAACATATGATTAAATTATTAAATGCATAGCATTTGAAACATAGAGATACAACAGTTTCTTCCCCACTAAATTTGATTCATAAGTCCAGTCTTTTCCGTTGCTTTCTCGTTCTGGCTGATTTGCGAGGAACATCTGTTGAAGCATTGTCATCTGTTTGAGGATTATTATGTTCACTGGGTTGAAGCCTGATTTCTGCATTTTCAAGTTTATCATTGTTATCTTCTCTGCGTTGAAGCCTGATTTCTATATTTTCCAGATCATTGTCCTTGATTGTCACGTTCTGTTGTTGTGAACTGGTATTTTCTTTAGGAGATGAGCTGGAGTGTGTTTTGTCTGTTGTTTCTGGCACTGATGTTCTCTTCAACTGATCGATGTGTCTCTTGCTAATGTAACCGTTGTCCAGTTTGACTTTGTAGTGCAGAGCTCCAAGTTGAAAAATAACTTTTCTGAACTTCCAGCCGTCTAAGGAACGTACTAATATTCTCTCCCCCACTTTAAATGAGCGGCTTACTTGTTGAAAACCTGGATGTAATGATGTGTTTTTCTTAGGGGGTTTGAGAGCATCTAGTTTTGTTCTCATCTTTCGATTTAAATACAGTTCAGCCGGTGATTGTCCGCATTGTAGAGGTACAGCTCGGTAGCGAAACAGTATGTATTGAATTTGTGATTTAATATTCTTTCGAGGATATTCAGCACAATTTTTCAGAGATGTCTTTAACGTTTGCACATAGCGTTTCGCTAATCCATTGGTTGCTGGGTGTCCTGGGGCGATAAATTTTTGAAATATGCCTCTTTGTCGGCAAAAGTCTGTAAATTCTTGGCTAGTAAAAA